GAAGGCTTTTTGTGGTTTATGGAATTTCAAGGCGGGTGTTAGGGACTTTGGCGAGAGTATATTCGACTCCTTAGTAGGGATATTGGTGAGTGTTTATTTTGCTGGCTTGACTTGGATTGTGCGTTCATCCTACTCCACAGAGGCGCGCTGGGCTTTTGGTGGAGGGATGTTGGGCTCGAGGTATTGGGGCACGCCGCGCACTTCGCGATTGTGGGAGTATACCTATGGGCTCATACCCTCCCCCGTTTTTAGGGTACCTAGTTCTTTAGTTCGGATCTGTTATATAGAAAAAGCAGATAACCTAAAGAACCCCTTGTTTTAGGGTACCGAGTTCTTTAGTTAGGATCTGTTATATAGCAAAAAGCAGGTAACCTAAAGAACCCCTTGTTACCGAGTTCTTTAGTTAGGATCTGTTCTATAGCAAAAAGCAGGTAAGCTAAAAAAGGGGTATGGTATGAGCCTCTCCGCGGGGCTTACAGGTTCTCAAGGCGGTCGGTCCGGCGGTGCAAGGCTTTGAGAAGTACTTGGGTTTTGGGGTTTTGGGAGTGTCCAAACCCTAAACCCTAAACCCTAAAACCTAGACCCTAAAAACCTAAAGCCCTAAACCCTACAACCCTAAGACCCTAGACCCTAAAACCCTAAAGCCCTAAACCCTAAACCCTAGACCCTAAGCCCAGGGCTTGGGTTTCAATGTTAAGGTCGCATCAGGGCTGTCTTGGAGTTTAAGGCTTCTAAACCCTACCCGGGAAGCCAAGACCCTTCCCTTTTCGGGGTTCTACCCTCTAACTAAGGGGTCATAACCTACTACTTTGTAGGGTTTGGGGTCACAGGCAGACCCTAAACCCTAGACCTACTAGGGGTTTACGCTTTAGGGCTGCGAGTTTGGAGGAGTTTGGAGTTCAGGAGTGGAGGGGTCTTGGGGTTCGGATAAAAGCAGCGCCTGAATGTGTACGCATGCTCTTCCTCAGGGCCCCTTTGCAATCATAATACTTACGGAACACTGCATCCCAACCCTAAACCCTGAACTTAGGGGAAGATAGTCCCTAAACCCTAAGCCCTGACCCCTGTGTCAGGATTGAGCTTTCAAGCTACAGGGCCTGAGATGCAGAGCTTTGGTGTAGAGGATGTGCTCTGTGCTCAGGATTCAGAGATATGTTGGAGAACAGTATATGTGCAGCTGGTCCCTCTTGGGATCCTTTTTCTCAGGGCGCCGTACTACATATTTTTTTTGGGGGGGGACCTAAAAGCGGACCCTAATTTAGAGAGCCACCTATACATGGGCTTGGCTTTGCTACAACCCTAAACCCTAAACCCTAAACCCGGTGCAAGGACGAGACCATGGAGCTAAACACCCGTCGTGGCTTGGAGGCCAGCTTTGCCAAGCTATACGGCAACTTTTGCAGAGAAAACGAGATTCACTCAAGCCATCCCGTTGCGAAGATGAAGGTGGGTGGATTCGTCAAGCTCGCCACTGAAATGTACAAACAAAGCGAGAGTTATAAGCTCGAGCATGCCAGCTCCGCATTGTGCAACGCGCTGTCAGAGACGATATCAGCCATACGCGAGATGCAGGAGCGTATGTCGCGCAAGTATCTATCATGCCTGATGAACTCTCTGGACTTTGTGCGCATGGTGCTTGGGGAGCCAGGAAAGCTCGGATCTGCGGTTTTGTGTTATTCATGGTTCCATGCTGAGCGTGATTTCAGGGGGTGGGACAGCCGTGCTGCATCAGCCTCTGCGGAATATTTTGTAGACTGCCTCGATGACCGTGTTCCTTGCCCGCTGCTTAGGCCGCGGGAGGGATGTCAGCTTCTTGTCTGATGTGTCCGCGATAAACCCTAAACCCTAAACCCTAAACCCCAAACCCGAAGCCTGCAAAGCAAAGGTCGGGCAAGCTCTGCCCTGGCTCCAAGTCAGAAGGCCGACGATCGTGCGGCCCTCGGGGGCTACACTGACAATGCAGAAATGACGTATAAACGTAAACATAACTAGAAAGCATAGTTCTAAGAGATTCTTGCGTGGAGACACTGGCATAGCCTAGATGAATTAGTCTATCAAAAAATATCATTCTGGTCATCCTCACATCATGGTTGAAACCTTCATTGTTTAGTGTAATATTATGGTATATGCCTTGGGTCTACAGTGCCTATATAGGGACTACTTAGGAAGCCAAAGTGTGCTGACTTCCTACCAGACAGACAAGTCACTGTTCGCTTATATTCCGGGAAGAGGCATTGCTGCTGATGCTCAGCTGAGAGTTGTAGCTCACATCCGCCGAGTCGTGCAGAAACGTCGGTCATTGACCCAAACTGAACAATCGCCATCCTTGCTAATGGAACCGTGCTGAGCTGGCCACACCAATAGGGGGGCGTCCTTGAAGAGTCTGGCACTGTTTTTGAGAGTTGCTCCCTAAACCCTGAAACCCCTTATGGCTGTCTGTCTCAGGCCTTTGGTCAAGCGGTGTCCGAGGCACCGCAGGAAGGAGAGAGGATGTGGGGACAAGAATGGTATGAAGAGGCTCGCAGAGCAAAGCATGGCTACCTCACCTGTGAGGAACCCTAGGGCTCCAGTTACCTAAATAGTGGGTAACTAACCATATATTTTGTACCCCAGTAGCCTACTATTTAGGTAACTGGAGCCCTAGGGGAAGCCGAGGCAAAATGGAAGTCATGGCCGACCCAAAACATCCCAGAGACTCCGGCGGGCCCCGAGGTTACATGAGGCTTTGGGTCAAAACGAGCGACAAGTTGAGCTACTTTGATCAGGTTTCCAAAGACAAGTCAAAGGGGACTTTCTCCTGGAGGCCGATTCAAGCTGCCGATGCACATGAGGACACAGTTCCTACCCCGCTTTCCGGGCTATCCCAAGCGGGTGGTGTCTCAGGACCAGATGGAAACCTTCTGGGTCCAGTTACACATAAGATATGGCGACCAGAGCTGTGAGGTAGAGTCAACCACTGGCATCAAACAAGGATGCAAATTCGCTCCCTCTCTCTTGGCTCTGGTACTGTCTACACGCATTGAAAATTCAGGAGTACATGACGGGCTTTGCTGATGACTATATGAGTATATGGACCCGTATAGTCTAAACTAGAGTCTAAACCCTAAACCCTCATGGCACCCTACTTATAGAATCCTCATGGTACCCCTAGAGGAACCTTTAACAGAACCCACCCCTCAACCCTAAACCCCAAACCATGAACCCTGAACCTATAAACCCTAAACCCTGAACCCTGAACCTATAAACCCTAAACCCTGAACCCTGAACCCTATAAACCCTAAACCCTGAACCCTGAACCCTATAAACCCCAAACCCTGAACCCTGAACCCTATAAACCCCAAACCCTCAACCCCGAACCTATATACCCTAAACCCTGAACCCTGAACCTATAAACCCTAAACCCTAAACCCTGAACCCTGAACCCTGAACCCTAAAAACCCTAAACCCTGAACCCTGAAGCCTAAGGCTTGCGGCTTTGAGGTTTACTTGCCCATAGGCTCCAAAGTAGTTCCTTCTCGTGGCTTATATTTAGGATCTTATAAGGTAACCCCAAAAAGGAACTACTTTGGAGCCTATCCCTTAGCATCAAAATACCCCAAAAGCCTTATATAATAGGCTCCAAAGTACAAAAAGGAACTACTTTGGAGCCTGCGGGTAGTGCTTCGGAGCTGCGCAGGTCGATCGCTCGTGCGACACCTCCTGCGCTTCGTGGGCTCTCTAGGCCCGCTGCCTGGGTTTCTTAAACGGATTCGGGTCTAGGGCCTACCCATACCCTTGCCCTCAAAGGACTCATATTTTAAGGCTTTTGGGCCCAAAGACCCTATTATATAAGGCTTTTGGGGTATTTTGATGCTAAGGGATAGCCTCCAAAGTAGTTCCTTTTTGGGGTTACCTTATAGGATCCTAAATATAAGCCACAAAAAGGAACTACTTTGGAGCCTATGGGAGGTTTCTTAAACGGATTGGGGCCTAGGGCTTAGGGAGTAGATTATGCCTCAAGGTTTAGGGGTTTTGGGTTTAGGGTCTAGGGCTTAGGGAGTATATTATAGCTTAGGGTTTAGGAACTCGCTCGGCTTTTGCGAAGCGGGAAGGTAAACAATAGCTCTGCAAGGATTGATGCAGGAAAGGCATGGGCTACATAGTACATATGGGTGGACGGATTAGGGCCCTTAGGGAAAAAGGACATCTAAGGACTGGTGTTTAGGGGTTTGGGGTTTAGGGTCTACCTGGACCCTCTTACGCTGACTGTTTTCTGAGCCCGCTTAGAAATCCCGAATACGCTTAGATTTGGGTGGTTTACGCCTAGATTTAGCAAAGACCCCTTGTTGATGCAGGTTCGCCCCGCTACTGGTCCAAAAGACAAGCCTTCGGAGGCCCGTGTGAGCCCTGCGTTTCATGTGAACTAAAGATATCTAGCAAAGACTCCAATTTGAGGCTACTTTATATGGCTTTTCCTTCTATATACACATATGCATATATATATATACATATATATATATATGTATATCCATGTCCATAAACTATTCCATCCTTTCAATATCGACAGGACTCCATAAACTTATCCACCCTTTCAATATCGACAGGGCAAACCAAACAATTCCAGTCATAGACAACGACGACCGAATGATCGAGATGGATGGAGATGCCGCCATGCTGGCCAGCAGACGCTGGCAATCTGCAGAATGGCCTCCGGGGCACAGGCAAAGTCGGTGCGCCCACCCCCTGGGTTTGGGTAGAGCAGACAGGGCTTCGAGTGATCCTGAAGTTGCAGAGATGCTGTCCTTCTGATTGTGCTTGTGTTACCTCTGCATGCTCTCGATTGTTATTGGCTGCTGACTGCACCTTTGCTTAGAAGTGCTTTGGGAAGCCAGGTCAGGGCATATAGAAAGCCAGCTAGGTCAGGCCATGCAAGCTTGCATAAGACCACTTTTAGGAATTTTAGGATGCCGAAAAAGGTGTATCCCGATGGCAAGCCATGTGATGAAGCTGAGTGCCAGGGCATGGCTGCTCTTTGGGATCAGCATGCAGAGCTTCGGAACAGGGCTCTTAGTGGGCAAAGGCTTATGCAAGCTGCGACTGGGGATAGCAGCAGTGTGTTACCGAGCATGGAGAATATGAGCCATAATCACTTGGTGTTGAAGGAGATTGTGCTAAAGATGGGAGCTCGGCAGCGCCTTTCAAGTGACCCTGCCGAGAGGCTTGCAAAGATGTTTCTGGGATGGTACACAAAGTATGCAGCGCAGTTTCAGCAGAAGCCCAATTTTGAGGCAACTGTTTGGGCCTTCAAGGATGGCTGGGTCACTCATAAGATGTTTACTATGTTACGGCCGAAGGTAATGCGCCCCGAAACACCCCGAGAGCTTCGGCTTTACTAGTGCCTTCCTATATCGACGATTTCTGTGACTGGTTATGTTGGTTTTTTGTTTTATTGGGTTCTTCTTCAAACTCCAACATAATCATTGCTTATTCTTGAGCCTTACTTACAAACACTGCTTATTGAGGAGCCATGTAATGTATATGCTGTGGGCTTTAAGGTTAGTTCAAGACTTGGTTGCCTCTTACTTACAAGCAATCGAGATCCAAGGATGCAAAGGTGAAGGACCTCTGGGCTGTGCTCCTGGATGTGAAGAAACGACAGAAGGCACATATCTTTCTACGAGTTTTGAGGTAGTGCCTGTTATGAGCTACTAAATTAAGGGGCCCAGTGCTACCATTGCAGAAGCTTAGCATCCACCCAAGCAGGCAGCAGCACAGGCAGGAGGTGTTCCTCGACAAGATGCTCCTCCGGAGGATGTTTATGAGGAGGTCGAGGGCCTCGAGGGCGAAGACGAGCATGCTGAGCCATCTTCCGGTAGCATTCCTGGGATGGGTGAGGGTTCGTCTGAGGCTATTGATCGGTCAACTATGTCTAGGGAGGAGAAGCTTGCTGTGGACAGTGCTGAGGCAGGCTATCCCCTGGCCCACACCTTGTCTGAGTCTTGGGGGGATGAGCATATGCCGAAAACCCCGGTTGAGGATGCAGAGGTGACTGAAAGTCCTGAGCCTCATGAGCCTCTAGAAGTTCCAAGCTTGCAGACTCAGAGAACTCTTTTGGATGAGGAGCTGGATGGTGCAGCCAGTGATGCATGCTGTGTGATTGACTCAAGCCCCGAAGAATCTTCCAAGCCCTCCGCGCTATCCCGTCGCCCACACATTTCCAAGAGCTGGAACTCTGCTTTGTCTCCGAAGCTAACCAAAGAGCAGAAGGCCAGGTTTTTGGAAGCTTGCAGAGCAAAGATGACTGCAATTGCACCCCCAGCTGCTTCCACAACTGCTTTGACTTCAACGTGGGGTGTTTCCAAAAGGGTTTCAGGTTTGTAATAGATTAGAACTCCATGTTTATGTTCCTTATTTTTCTGCTATTTCAACTTACAAATACTATGTGCCCATAAAACCCCACAGCCCTTACAGGATTCTGCCTGGGCTTGCTTCCATGCTTCCAGCAGCTGCCGCTGGATGTGGAGGGTATGCTCCCTTCGTTGCTGCCTCGCCTGCAGTCACTGTCTACTATGGAGATCGCAATTTGGATTGAGCTAGGGGTTGGGTTATCACTTAAGTATAGCTTCGCTCTCATTTCGGGATCAGGTTGGGTTTCTTAGTCCTATGTATGTCATACACCATAGTACACTGTGCAAGTGAGTATATCTTTCATCTCTTTACATATGTCACTATGTGGTGTGTTTCATGCAATGATATTTTTCCTCAGCTCTCTTATATTTCAGGCACCTTTGGATCTAGATAATCTTAGTAGCACAAAAGCCTAGCTTAGTGGACTTCTAATCTTGATATAGTCATGTACAGTTTTTTCTGCAAGATGACTCCTAGAGCAAGCACGATGAGATTTAATTTGAGTCTCTTTCTGAGGCAATGTTACGAACCCCGACCAAGAGGATACCTTTGTACCAGCTGACAGCCCTGACATCGAGTCAGTGATGGAGGCATGTGAGAAGGCTGCGGCTGCAATGGAGACGGCATTGACAGCAAGCCCTGTAGCTTCAAAGGAGCCACAGGAAGATGAGGCAGTGTCAGCTAAGGAGGCAAGTGGCATGTCTGAGATGGAGCTGGAGCAGCCAGCAACCCCAGTAGCTTCAAAGGGGCAGGAAGATGAGGCAGTGTCACCTGTGGAGGCTTACGGGTTTATAGGGTTTAGGGGTTTGGGATTTAGGGTTCTCTAGAAAGCCGGCATTGCTGAAGCATCTTAGTATATTATATTATGCTGCTTAAAAGAACCCCCTTCCTAATACTAGGCAGTGGCATCGAAAGATGATCAAATGCGCTTGATTCTGGAAGCTCGTAAAGCAAAGAAAGCGAAAGCTGCCCAGAAGGCAATCGCTGCGGATGCACAGGTGCATGATGATCACCAGGTGCCGAATGATGGTGAGCAAGCTGTGGAACCGGAAGCCAAGCCAAAGAAAAAGCAAGGACCCAAGCCCAAGACAGCCAAAGGCAATGACCTGCAAGCCGAGCCAAAGAAAGGCCCGGTGCCAAAGCGAGGTCGCAAGCCTGCAGCCGAAGCCAACGATCCGGAAGCCAAGCCAGAGAAAGCCCCCGGTTCAAAGCGAGGACCCAAGCCTGCCAATGATCCAGAAGCCAAGCCAGAGAAAGCCCCCGTGTCAAAGCGAGGACGCAAGCCTGCAGCCGAAGCCGATGATCCAGAAGCCAAGCCAGAGAAAGCCCCCCCAGGATGCAAGCTTGCATCCGAAGCCACGGATCCGGAAGCCAAGCCAGAGAAAGCCCTTGTGTCAAAGCGAGGACGCAAGCCCGCAGCCGAAGCCGATGATCCGGAAGCCAAGCCAAAGAAAGCCCCCGGTTCAAAGCAAGGATCCAAGCCTGCAGCCGAAGCCAATGATCCCAACACCGAGCCAGACAAAGCCGCAGTGTCAAAGCAAGGATGCAAGCCCGCAGCCAAAGCCAATCCGAAAGCCAAGCCAGAGAAAGCCCCTGTTTCAAAGCGAGGTCCCAAGTCCAAAGCCGAATCCAATGATGAGGCATCCCTGGCACAGCAAGGACCCCAAGCCAATGATGAGGGACCGGTGCAACGTGGCAAGCCTAAGGCCAAGGGAAAGTGTCTCAAGAGGCCGGCAGCGCGGATGCAGGAGATTCCGATTGCGGAGCCCCCTGCAGACAATGGTGTGCCGCCATTGGAGGCAGAGCTACCGAAGAGCTTCGCGCGACGGGCAATCCCCACTGGTGCCCATGGGGTCAACAAGTACCGACGCATTGTCGGTGCATTCAACAATGACGTGCTGCCCAAGTTGAAGGATGGCACGAAGTGTGCTGCTGAGGACCTTCTAGGGTCTGTAAAAAAGGCAATGCTAGGGATGATGAGTTTAAGAACTCTGGGTATCTTTGCTAGGGGTTTAAATGGCTCATCCATCTGTTTGTTCATTTAGTTCTTATGAGGGAGATAAGCTAACCTAGGTTCGGAATCAAGATAGTTTAGGTAGTTGCTGAAGTGTGTATACTGTATGATTAATTAAGAGTTCACTCCGACTTTGACCTTCCTCCCCCCATTGTGGGTCTCAACAGATAATTTATTTTACAATCCCAAATGCCTGCTGCAGTACCAATTCTTCGATCTGGTGCAGATGAAGTGCCGGGCATGGACAAACCAAGCCGATCCATGGGGATACATTCAGGAGGCAACCTCGGAGTATGTGCAAACGTTGCTTAGCCAAAGATGAACATCATGTATAGGATCAGTCCATCCTATAGATCCTCAGGCCATCTTAGTGAACCTTTAATTACATTCAGAATGCCTCGATGGCCTCAAGCAAACACCGAAAATGAACCCAAACTCCTCCAGCCCAATAGAAACCCTAAAGAATGTCCTGAACCCTATGTAGAGAAGCACCACCCGAAGCCAACATCCTATCAACCAAGGCTTATCCAGACTGACCACGAGCTTCCCAAGTGAACCTGCTGAACAGCAGCATCCGAAGGATGGTCTGAAGCCTTTGCCAGCCGACAGCTAGGGTAGTTCGGTAAAGGTTGTAGGGTTACATGGGGTGCATGGTTGCACTCAAGATGTGATTTCATGCAGGGGTGGTAACCATCCCTTTCTCGATCTGCTACCTGTTTGCTGAAGCAAGATTCAGACAGGTTTTGATTTTGTGCCTATTTGCAGTGTTGCTGCCCGGACAGGCCAGTGGCTTTGTGCTTATAACCTCGTGCATAACCTAACCTACAAACCTAGCTGGCCCATAGTTAACTTCCAAGATGTTTTTGAAATGATACCCTTGGAGTGTCCCACCATAGAACATGATAGTGTGTTTTGGTTGTTTGGACGAACGCACATGTTGATCAAACCTACCCGGACAAGTCGATGCTATGTTTGCATGTTTGAATATATGCCATGTCCCACATTCCCATGCTTCCATCTCCAAGTATGCACATATGCAGTCATCATGTTACTAACTTCTGACGATCTATGTAGAATACATGTATCTACATCTAGTGACGTCACATAACCTCAAACTCACCGAGCTCAGTCTCTGCATGGAAGGTAGGCATGGGAAGTGTGTATGTACATACATATGTGTGTAGTTCTACATATGCCTACATATGTGTGTAGTTCTACATATGCATACTTATATACATGTATATGTATGTGTCTGGAGTCATATCCATAGATGTTCTTTAAAACCATTTGAGCACCATCAACTCAAATACCCAACAAAGCCCCAGATGTGATGTGAAGAAAGCTCGGATGTAAAGGGACTGGTTTCCAGCTAGTGGTTTTTTTCCTGGCACTTAGAGTGTTTTTTTAAGTGGCCAGGGCTGAGGGTTCTTCTTTGGGGGATGGTTTAAGCTTGAGCTGTGCCTAAAGATTGAACTGAGGGATTGGCCTGGGTTGGAAATCGGGATTGTATAGGTTTTTGAGATCACACATATATATATATAACACTACATATGTGTATATATATATACATGTATTATATACATATATACACACATGTATATGTGTGTGTACATATGTGTATATATATATATATATGTATATATATATATATATATAGAGAGAGAGAGAGAGAGAGAGAAAGGGAGAGAGAGATAGAGCGAGTGTGAGAGAGAGAGAGGTGTAGACTTATATATAGGCTCGCTTGGTTCATAGGGCCTTTGCATCACAACACCTAGGAAAGCCGAAGGTCGTCCATAGAGCAAGCAACGACAGTGATGGGGTTCAGCATTGCTGCCTACATTGGCCTACATGGCTATCGTGGCCAACCGCGCCACTCTGTGATGCTTCTGCTTGTGAAGGAAAGAAGTTGATCTAGATGCATACTTGATGCTGGTGCTAGCCTGACCGAAGCAGGATTGCTTGTCTGACAACATCCAATTCCATGTGTGAGTCAGTCTGTTCCACATTGGGGCCCGTGCCTGTAGCCCCCCTCGCCACGCAGGCTTTTGCCTCTCTACGAGGCAAACGGAAGGCGGCCAAGGCTGGTTTACTTGATGATGCAGATGAAGGACCACGTGGTACCGACATGTTTGGCCTGTTTGGTGATGTGGGGTGCCTCGCTTTGCAGCCTCAGTCTGTCATGTGAACATTGCACACGAGTGGCCGATTCTGATTGCAAGTGAGCATATGAACATGTGTGTTGCTACAGTCTAGAGATGGCTGCAAAGCTGTTGTTCCCAGTGGTGGCCAAAGCCTCAGGGTAGCTGGAGTGTTAGCTGGCTTAGCTTAGTAGCCATGGTTGGCTGGACCGAAGCAGACATCATTCGGCGTCTGTTCAGAGTGGGGGCACCAAAGGTCTGCTGGCTGCAACAGATGTTGGTACATGTGTTCAACACCCTAATCATATTGTATCTTCTGATTTACTGTCACATGTCTGCAGATCTTCGTGAACTATGCAAGCAAGATACATCTAGAGCTTGGGAGCTTTGCATTGGTAGCAAAACCACGCATAGAACTTGTATGTGGCTCCTAGGACAAACTTGTTGTACCCAGACCCCAAGCTATCCTTCTCATGCTGCAGATCCTGGCCTTTGCGTGCCTTCTCCTCCTCTGGAACACGGATGTGGAGCTGGATGAGGAGGCCTTGCCATGCTTTTTCTAGTCTATGCATAATGATGATTTAGGTAGAGAGACAGAGAGACACAGACACAGACACAAACAGAGATAGTGAGAGAGAGAGAGACAGGAGTTAGTCAGTGACTGCACAAAAGAGACAAAGGGAAAAAGGGTCCTCAGGATTCTGTTCTGTAGGGCTTCATCATGAAGGCTGTTTGTCTTTAGACATCAAGGCAGTGCTGTTCCACAAAGGGCACAAGGGCTTCTCCGGGTTTGTTAGAGTTCAAGGCTATGCTGTTTGGGCACAAAGTTAGAGTGGGGTTTGGACATGAAGTTGTTGTGAATGGTTTGTTACAAGCTATGTAAGCTACTATGTTAATTGAATGCAGGCCCATAACATGTGAATATTGTCATTGATGACTCCCATAGGTTCTCTACAACTGGCTCCTACTTCAAGGTCCTGGCTATTCACTGCAGACTTACGGATTTAATTGAAGTTAATGTATTCCAACCATTACAATGCAAAAGGCCTCTCGTTCTTGGAATATGGTTTTGTAGATTGTGGCTCCCGAATCCCCCCACTCGTTGCCAATCTCTATAGCAATATATATATATATATATATAGATATATATATATATATTCTTATCTCCCCTTTACACATAACTGGCACATCCCGTACATACATATATAATACACATACTTACATCAATCGATCAATCAATAAATAAGTAATATATATATATATACACACATACATACTGATTGCCTACACTGCCTACGAAGTATATACCCCAAACTGTCTATGGGCCTATATTACATAAAATATAACCCAGCTAGGAACTTAAGTCTTCACCAGGCAATCAATCCCCCCAATCAGGTGTTTTCCTATGGCTTTGTGGAGAGCTTCGCTGGAAACGCGGAGGCCGCGAGACAGGTCCGGAAACACTTCCCAGGTCAGCAAATTGTGACCATGGATATTATGCAGTGTGCAGCACTAGACATCACACAGAGTGGTGGTTTTGGGATGCTTAGCTCAAGCAGGCAGTGTCAATGCATGTCCCACACTGATTTTGTCTAGTGGGTGTCGATACATTGCCAGACTTTCGGATCTGAGGGCTTTCTTGACGGCCACTATGCGTGGGGACAGGAACGGATGGCTGCACTGGCTGGGTGTGCACTGTAGTTCTTTTATCACGACAAGCCGGGGCAGTACAGGCAGGTCATTGGCCAACCCAGAGGGGTGCCAGGATATCCCTGCTGTTCATTCGGCCAACAAGATGGCAGCTAGGCCGGGGAGGCTCATTGTAAGTATCCTTGAGGCTCAGGTAGGATATTGTTTTATAAGGGGTTTAGTTTCAATCTGGTTTGCTTAGGCTAAGGCCTGCATGCTGCTTGCATACATGTGCCCTTCTAACTGAGAAGCTCCCTGAGGGTGGCCCTGTTGCTCCTGGCCACAAGTGCATTTATAGGGACCTGGGCGGTGGAACAGCCATTTTCCTCCGTGCTGTTTGAGCTAGAGCCCCTCCAGTATGTCTTGCAAAAACTCCAGGCGCAACTCCTCCCAAACTTTCTAGTCCTATGTACTCTTCTTTAGGATAAACAACCAAAGCAACTTGTAGCCCTGACACAGGTATACAAATGCATCTTCTGGATGTGGCACTATGAATCAAGAACCCCAAAGAGGACGATCCTGTGGTCCAACAGCCCGGCTATCCGAAAGTTCTGGGTTGGAAAACTAAAGCGTGCCGAGGTTCGGGCCGAATCGGCCAAGCGCAACCCCAACAAGGCCGGCCCTCCGGTGAAGCGATGGTTGGACAAGCAAGGCATGCTCCGCTTCAAGGGGACTTTCGACCTCAGGACTACGGGGTCATATCCTCAGATTTCAATACCTAGTTTCAGTGGTAAGTATCATTCCAGATAATAACTCAGTTGCTTTTGATGCTCTTAGCATGGAACCCAATAGGGCAGTATACGGCTGCTTTCGGGCAGAAGATTGCAGAGGAGCTGCATAGCTTGATCGAGTACACGCCCCGAGTCAATGATCGTGATTCACTACAAAACCGTGATGCTATGGATATCTGGTCTTCTTGGGACTGGGGTGATCTATGGCCTATGGCTGACATGGCTGAGTTTGTGAAGTACCTTTATGGAGCCAAGACTGTCAGTATCCCGGCCGAATGGAAGCCACTGCTCCCCACAGAACTCTGAGCTCCACAAGAGAAAGCTTCAGCATTAGAAGTGGAACCTGTATGCTAGGGGGCACTTGCTGAAAAGAGAGCAAATTCGGGACTTTGTTTGATGGCCACAGGTATCAATCTTGATTAACCTCCTAGGGCACCCACCGAAAACCCTATAGTGCTACACCCATAGATAAATACCGACAACTCTCCTTCCCACATATACATTCCAAATCCTTATAAAGACCTGCTGCAGCCCTACAAGTACATAATATAAATATATATATATATATATATATAGGGAATAACTCTAAGCTTGGGATGCCCTGGGCTTGGAAGTGAGGCTCGGCCCCCAAAACCCCGGAGCCTGCAAGGCTTGGCCTTGAGTCCCCTTGGTTCCCAAAAGGCCCGGAGTCTACAAGGGTCTCTAGAAGGGAAGCGCCTAGAGTCTGTAGGTCCTAGGATCTGAAGCCAGCACACCCAAGGAGCCCGAATCCACAAGCCTTGCTAGAAGGGGAACGCCTAGAAACAGAAGGCCCCAGCTTCTTCTGCAGCTAGCCAGGCCTCATTTTCCTAGGGTTCCAGACCAGAAAAAACTAGTTTTTTATTGATCTACATAGATCCAAACCACAAACGCCCAGAAACACCCATACAACGCCCAAAAACACCCATACAACGCCCAGAAACACCCATACAACGCCTAAAAAAAGCAAACGCTTAGAAATGAGCGCCCAGATTTGACCGTACAACGCCCAACCAAAAACCATGCAACGCCCAAAAAAAACCATACAGAATGTATGGCCTGATGTGTGCGCTTCCTGGCTTGGCTGTGCCTGCGAGGCCGCTGTGTTGAAGACAGTTTTTGTCTGTTTGGGGGTTGTTTGTGCCCTCCCGAGCCCATACTATGGCATGCGATCGGCGGCCGGAACGCCTTACTTCGCGGCAATGGTCGTGTAGCTCCCTTGCTTCAGCTCTAAACAACATGGATGCATCAGACCTGCTAGCTGCACTACCGGATGATCCAGCTGAGCTTGCAAAGTTCGTCCAGGATAGTGTTACGGGTTCACCTTTGAGCTTCTGCCTTGGGTTATCTGCTGACTTTATAAATACTAGTTAGGTAGGCATATTTAGGGGTAAATAAATAAATATATGTATCTACATAATATGTATATAGTTCTTAGATCTATATAAGTATGTAGGTAAGTCGGTAGGTAGGTAGGTAGGTACGTAGGGAGGGAGGTAGGGAGGTAGGTAGGTAGGTAGGTTGGTAGGTAGGTAGGTAGGTAGGTAGCTAGCTAGCTTGCTAGCTAGCTAGCTAGCTAGGTAGGTAGGTAGGTAGGTACGTAGGGAGGGAGGTAGGGAGGTAGGTAGGTAGGTAGGTTGGTAGGTAGGTAGGTAAGTAGGCAGGTGGGTAACTAGGTAGGTAGGTAGGTATGTAGGTTGGCAAAAGTGTGGGTGTGTGTGTGTGTGTTTGTCTGCATGCATGTATGTATTTATTCATCGATCTGTCTATCTGTGTAATATCAGAGAAGGCATGTATGTCCGTATGTATATATTATACATATATATATATATGTATACATATGCATATATATATATACGCATTAACCAAAATAAAAAATGTCTATATATATTTATGCACATATACATACATAAATTTTATTTGGCTGTGTATGCTTATGCATCTATCCATATATACATATATATATATGCATATGGATGTGGCTGCATATGTATTTGTACTGTGGACATCTATGTGAGCTTCCAATGTATGTATATACCTATCATATACATACATACATACATACATACATACATACATACATATATACATACATACATACATACATACATACATACATACATACAGATTTACATACATACATGTTATGTAAGTACATATGTGTATATATATATAGATCTAGATATAGATATTAGATATAGATATTTGTTCTTGTGCATCTGTGTATGTGCATGTCTATATGGAAGTGTATGCATGTGTGCATGTAGATGGGCATGTATATGGATATGTGTTTATGTCTATCTGCATATTGCAGAGATGCATGTGTCTGTAGGGATGCACACAAACATATATAAATATACATATATATATATATATGTATATATACATATGTGTGTGTCTGTGTACATGTATGTACATGTACCTATATGTCTACGTGCCTGTATGTATATGTGTATTGCATGTCCTCGCTCCGAACAGGACATCAAGAAGCAGCCCACCGTGAAGTCTGAGATGGGCAAGAAAGCGTGCAAGCAGGAGGTTATGTGCCCTGTAGTAGAGCCACTTCGAGAGCCTGCCAGCCCGCCTCCAGCCACGGCGGATGCATACATGGTGTTAGACAGTGATGAAGAAATGCCTGCAGCAGCTCAGGTTACTTGTTTGGCCATGCCCTTTGTGCTTGTTACCCAGATAGCTTGTCTGCTGCATGTGCAATGTAACGAAGTTCGGTGTGTATAGTCATACATATATCCATGTATAGACAAAATAAAGGTTGCAATGTGTGTGTGAGTGTGCTGAGCATATGTTGTATGAGGCTGTGTGTACATGTCTGTGTAGTACATGAGACAGACGTGACTTGGATGCCTCTACACAGACACAGAGTGCGTTTCTGCAGGATTTCTGTGTGTATGCATGTACATGGTAGGTCTGTGGCTAGGTCTGTTTGCTGGCATGCAGACAGTTGTGGGCCTCTGCAAGCTACTAGCTCACATGCATATGCTTGTATACATGACTTCGGCCATGTGCTGGGTCTCATAAGCTAAATTCATCACAAGTTATGTTGTGCAATGTTGACCCGAAATGAGGATTCTTTGGCCTCTGCTGCTCCTGGCCTATCCGATTCCCAGTTGGGCAAGCATCTGGTGATGCTTGCTGAAACACAGAGTGTTCCCGAGACCCCGGTGAAGAATCAGGCTGCCCCTCTGGCCACTTCTGCTCTCGAGGCCTACTGCAAAACCCCCGCTAAGCCTGCTCACCTGAAACCCTCAACCCAAATTCTACATCCCTAAAGAAACCCAGTTCTAAAACCCAGTAAACCTCCAACCCAAGCAAGCTTAATGCCTCATGCACAATTGTCTGGCAGACACCGCCATCGAAGCTACATGCCTGTCGGACACCAGCTTCGAAAAGCACCGTGGAGCCTGATGGCTCCCAGCCCTCGAGTCTTTCTGGGACCCCAACACCGTCCTCAACTGCAGCATCCCAGACAACTACCCCACCGAAAGGTTCCAATGCTGCCTCGCCAGTACTTGAAGCCACAGCAGCCGTGGATGCTGACAAGAAGGTGCAAGGCTGTTTCAATTAAGTACATAAATATAGTATGTATATATCTATATATATATATAATGGTTAGCTTCTTTGGGTGATGCAAGCATTGGGTCGCTTCAATATTCTGGGTTTGGGGTTTGTTGATGCAGGGGCCCAAACGTGATGTTGTCCAAGTTGGGGACCTCTTGCTGTCTTTGCAAGAGTACAACAACTGGCGTGGGAAGTTCGGGCGGGCCTGCACGCCGAAGCCTGTGTCGGGGCGGCTCGATGTGCCCAAAGACATCCATGAGGTTTTTATTTCTAAGGGCAAGGCCAAGGACCAGATGTTCGAGCAGTTTATCAAAGCTGGTGGGGACAAGGATTGGGTCCACAACCTTTTGAGAGATGCCCAGGGGCTAGGTTCATGCTTCATTTTGGCTCTTCTACACCTAGATACCTCTTAAGCAAGTAGCATATATAGCCTCAAGATGATCAACAAAAATCCTTGCAGGACCAGTTCATCCGCCGCTTCACATTGAAGAAAAAATCCGAGTCCAGCAAGGAGTTGGATGAGGAGGGTGGGTATTACACACCCGAGGAAATGAAGAAGCTACTGAGCTACTCCCAGTGTCTCGAGTGCAATTACAAGCCTAGAAGCTTTAATCAGCATCTTTGCAGAATCCTCTAGAAATCTTAGCTGGCCTTGACTGGTGCCAAAACCAATACATACATGCACAGGTACACAGACAATATGTGTGTATGTATGTATGGATATATTTAGCTGTATGTGGATGCCCTTTATAAGGATCACAGATGTATATATATATATACATATGTATATTTCCTACATATGTATAAAAAATATGTCTATATATATATACACACACATACACACTTGTGCAAGACACCCACACACACATTCCAACCCCACATAAAGCCCAGAAGCCCCATCCAGCCTAATTGTATGGAAGCTGAAATTTAATTCCATGTCATATACCTGCTTTCAACAGAAACATTGCGCTAGATCAGACACTCCCACAAACCCTATAAACCCCAACCTCGTAAATAATCCCTGGATCCCTTCCTTGTACCTTTGTCTCATTATACATCTCAATATGTAGTTTGCTGATCTCATTCTTTCATTGAGACCTTAGCTTTTCCTGTGAAGTGCTCCTGGATCGTGTTCTATCCACACATTCCATTAATTGTGACTTTGTATCTAGCCCTCTGACCCCTGGTTTAAATCAACCAAACAAGCTTCTCAAGGAAGCCAGACGGATCCTCAAGTTCATGAACTTTCTTGCATCATAGCTCCTACTTTCACCACCCCATGTCTATATATATATACATATATATATACACATATACATATACAGACTATATCTGTATATGTATGTGTATATATATATATATATATATCCACCTATTTCTCTTCGGATCTCTCCACTCTGCTTCAGCTTAGGACCCGGGCCGACCAGACGGTGGCATGGTGCAACGACCCTGCCAATGGCGACGATCTTGTTTTGTGGCATGCCTAAAACACAGCCCTCCCTGCATGCAGTCGATCAAACATATTCTTTGTCTGGGCTAAGCACCCTTGATGACTATGCCACCTAGTTAGGATCGACCTTGTGGACAAGAACATCAAGTACTACTGGTGCCGCACACGTGTCAAAGGCCTCAAGCGCTTGAGGCAGACACAGAGTGCGGAGGAGACGGCTGAGGCTGAGGGCCTTGGTCCTATGGGGCTTAGTGGCCTGGATGCTAATGCCTGCACCCCTTCCGCCATGGGCCTCCGAACTGCTGCTGATGTTGAGTCCGCAAAGACTGAGGCCTGGGATGGTGTTCAGGGTGGTGCTTGATGATGAATTAATGTTGGCCTACATGTATGAGGATTCGGTTTCCTTTCAGTTTCCATGCATATGTAAATTTGTACATTCATACATCAACCACTAGCTGAGCTTCATAGTTTGTGTGCTCAGATGGAGAAACTGGAGATCCAGCAGAAGGAGCTTCTGTTGGTTCAGGAAAAATGCTCCAACCTCAGGGACAAACTGGCTACAGTGGAGACTCCGGAGAAGAAGGAGCGTGTCAAAGAGAGCCAGGACTTGCAACATGTTATTCTAGGTCCATGTGTGCAAGTATGATTGTGAAGCAGGCACTTAATTAGGTGGCTGGGTTCCTGTGTGCTCCTAAGGGCTCGAGAGAAGCTGGAGGCCATGGCCAAGTCGGCTGAGAAGCTCTATGAGAGAATAGCTGATGCCCTGGCCAAGACTAGCACGAGCCAGCTGGATGCCAGCACCCCCGAGCTGCTAGTCAATCATTCTTCATATTTGCCAACCCCTTGCATCTGCCTAGTCTAAAGATAAATCTATGGGTTCTGCTGAGGGGCGCCAAGCTCTTATTGGACCTTGCAACCGATGGCAAGAAACTGCCAGGACCTTGGAGTGAAGAGCACCACTGCCAGCCTGAATATCTGGTACCTTCCATAACATGCCAATGAAAGCAGAAGCCCCTCCCACATTGTGGGCAAGGTGCTCCATGTGGACGGGCCTGGAGCGCACGTCCCGGCCACTGCCTGAGCAAATGATTTGTCGATAGTTCACTGCAGGCTCACATGTGTGCTTGGGCATGGACTAGGACTTATCTAGGGTGCGATGTTGACTTATGCATGAGCACTATTAGGGCTTCCCCTGTTTTGCCCAGGCCGCTCCTTCGCAAGCCACAAGAAGGAGGAGGAAGAGGAGAAGTAGGGCTCAGGGGTTACAAATGGGGTGAAAGAAACACAGAATGTGTTGGGGATATTTACGATGTGATGTGAACCTGTCGTGTGCAGCTACACGTGGGAATGTGTGCAAGATCGAAGTGAAACATGATCTCGATCGGTCTTTCTATGGCAGTAGATACTGCCATGGATATGCCCTTTGTGGAGCAACTACATGCACGCGGGTGGCTTGTGCAGAAGAAATGACCTGTGCACTTCTGCCTTCCGTGGAACACTTCAGCTTCGATTTCTGCTAGCTGATGACAGCATGCCAGGTCGACAGGAAGCGACCGAGACGTCGAAGTTCATGGCCGATGCCATTGGTTCAGGTGTGCTACACTCAGCCTACATGCATCCGGAGTTGCTGCATTTTTTGGCCAGTCTCACTTGCTTGAGCTGTTGCTACACATGCTGTCTGATGATTCAACCTGCCTCAAGCTTTTGCTGCTGGTCGGACATGACACAGCCTGAGGAGTGGCTAGAAGAGTTGCTAGGTTTCTCTCTTGATGGCAGTCGCAAGTCCGATGTGCCATGTCCACTCTATGTCCCCGTAACAGAAGGCCTGCTTGGGTTGCAATTGTTCCATGGTCTTTGTGCTTCTTTGTACTAGGCCCTTCTAGGGTAGGCTTTGCTAGCTATGACAGCCTTGAGAGGACCGGGTGATGACCCCTTCGATGCACATTCCGCTGTGGCTGAACAACGAGAAGCCGATGATGAAAGCCCCTGGGTTTAGCAAACTATTGGGGGTGTTAATGAGTATAAATGCATAAGGTGTTACTATGGTCAAGCTCCTTTCAGCTTTTCAATTACATCATGTGCCAGCTGGGCAGCATAGGCTATATCAGGATTCCTGTCCGGGGCTCTGAGAAAAACCACTTCAATGTCCATTCCAAAACCATGAAGCACAACCCTGAAACCAGAATAATTAAACCTGGGCAAAACAATCTGGATGTAACCCTGCTCCAATCTGGGTGCATGAGCTGGTCTTTGCCCATTGCATGTAGCATAGCATTGAACCTGTCCAGGTGCAAGCTTGCTTTGATGCTTCGGGGTCAAAGGTTGTGCTTTTCTATGCAGGCCAAATGACATAAGGCTTCAAGTTTCATACGTGTAGGAAATTTAATATGCTGTCATCCCCAAACAGACATTTCTAGGATTCACAAAGAGAACTACTGCACTTTATAGAGTTAACTCATCTTGCTGAAAGCATCTCTCATCAAACTCGTAACCTCACGCAAGCAGCAGGCCACAAGCAGCTTGAGATGTTCAAGCCTTCGGTCCGTGATCTACCACGACTGCGGGAGCTCTTGCAGGGAGGCCTCGGCAATGATGATCGTGTGAAGCTCCGCCTGCCGCGACCTTTGCTGAGTGCGGGCAAAGCTCTGCTTTCCATTAGGGAAAGGGTTGCTAGCATCTTGCAGTTGGGGCCCACTGTCTATAAGATCGGCCTTACGGGTGATCCCATGTTCCGCTTTTACAAGAAGCCTTCGAAGACAAGCTCATCATCTGGATACCGCTATGATCTAGAGCAATACGAGGAAATGCAAGTTTTGTTTGCAGGGGCGACATGGGATGAAGCTGCCTTAATGGAGGCAGTGCTAATTGCAGAGTTTCAGGGCCGGCCTGGCAATCGCAATATCAATCCTGGGGGTGAGGGGCGGCAAGTCTATGACCCGCCATACTTCACATACATTGTGTTCAAGTCGGCCCTGATTGCGCCGAAGCGACAGCGCAGATATGCTTATGGGGGAAGCTGAAAGAGAGTGTATCACGTTGTGTGGCATGACTGAACTACAAAGCTGATGCAGGCAGTCTTGCTGGCATGGACATGTACCCCAACCCAACAGCAGCCCATCCTAATCCCTGAAACATTATATATGTGAAACGCCTCCGACTGAGGTGCCGTGCTCCAAGATCGTGGGGCTGGCGAAAGCAATGAGGGCCGATGGCTTGACGGCCTCGGGTGATGCTTTCATCCACGAGCTGTCAAAGGTTTCGGAGAGAGATGCCGAGGCAAAGGCCCACAGGCTTTTAGAGAAGCACAAGCTCAGTCTGCCCATTCCACTCAAGAAGGTTCATGGGGATCCAGCAATTGCCGGTTTTCCGAAATTGAAGCCTTTAGACATATTCCAATACATGGCCGATTCCGGGCATGTGAACAAGCTGCTGGGTGGAAGGACTGTGCAGTCCAGTCGCCTGCTTCTTTTGGATTTTTGGGAAAACTACAGAGCCATACATCCGGACTTCGAGATTTTTTCTTCACACCATTACAGCGACATTCCTCTGGAAGACTGTATACCGATCGTTGCACACATTGATGGAGGGAGAGGCTATAAGAAGAGTGAGTATATGATATTTGATTGGGGGGCTGTCATGGGCTCAGGGTCGGGGAAAAAGAACAACAAGGACCCAGCTGTTCGAGCTTTCAAATCCCGTGGCAACAAGATGCAGTTGCCTTTGCTTGGCCATTCTTATACTACGCATTACCTCTATGCTGCGATGCCTGCTTCCTGGCACAAGAATCATGAAGATTCATTTCAGGCATTGCTGCGGGTTTTTGCCGAGGACCTCAAGGAGTGCTTCGACGAGGGGGTTTCCTTCAAAGGCCGGGTTTTACGGCTGGTCTTAATTGGGTTGAAGGGAGATTTGAAAATGCAGGCACGTGCTGGACGCCTAACCCGATGGTTTACAACGGCGCGCAAGGCTCCATATGTGGCAAGAAGCAAAGGTTCTGGTTCTGGGCAATGCTGTTGGTTGTGTTCAGCTGGGGATGTCACTACCCCCTTTGAAGAAATCCATACCGAGACACCGGCTTGGCTTGTGAGGATGCCTACATTTACAGAACCGAACCTCCGTGGGCACCTGGGTGTGAAGGGGGGATGCTAAGACCCTCCCTGTCCTACCTGGATCGACCTGCCAAATTTTACTTGGCCGATTTGTTTCATGTTTATTTGGCTGGGGTCGGGCAAGATTTCTGCTCATCGTGCCTGGTGTATATGCTGCCAACCTGTTTCCCTGGCTCTCGTGGTAATTCCGTGGATGCACAAATCGAGAAGTTGAATGAAGTCTTCAGGGGGTGGAAACTGCAACTCAAGGAGGCGGTGCATCTGACCGCTTTCACGAGGGACAAGTTGCAGTTCTTCGATGCTACTTCGGCATTCCCTGCTGGCACTTGGTCAAAGGCTTCTGATACTGCAAGGATCACGAAATTCATTATGTATGTTTGCGAGCTACACAATGACAATTTGGGTGCAGAAGGTGACAAGATCCTACAGTACATTCATCGAGCTGCTCGTGCAATTAGCCGCTTCATGAAGGGTCTGTACGAAGCAGACTTGTGGATCGATTTCGAGCTGCATGTGGCATCAAATTTTGCTAGGCTAGAAGCTAAGCTAAACCTGATGGTTCTGTATAACTTAAGAAACCTACTTGGAACTGCTAAGCTGTGCCATCTATCTTTTTTAAGACTCAAACTGATTCAAACAAGATTCTCATGGGAAACAAGATTCTAATGGGATTTTCCAACACATGCCAACACAATCCCAGGAACCGGCTGCAGCTGCTATGATTGCTCGAGACGGGATGCTGTTCTTGCGATGCTTTCACAAGCTAGCATCACTAGCTTTATCGCTCGGTAGGCCTTTGTGGCCTTTTCGACCCAAGGTACACACCTTTCACCATCTGATAATGGATATGGTACAGGCATCCAGGAATCAGACACCATCCTTTAATTGCTTGGCCGTCAGCTGTTCTCAGTCGGAGGACTTTATAGGGAGGACAGCCCTTCTTAGCACACGCGTCTCTGCCTCTACATCGCAGTCGCGTGTACTACAGCGATGGTTGGCAGGAGCTGCCATTCAATGGGCACGAAGCTAAGTGCCCGGCACTGTTCAGCCACCGACGTCGCCGAGCGTGATGGTGAAAACGATCGAAGCCGACCGAACCTATAGACCAAAACATAGTGTAAGCAGAAACCACTCAACACTGCAGCCCCAACTTCCCAAACCCCAGTGCAATCCGTGTTTCTTGCAGTCTAAGTCAAGCAACCACAAATTTTGGCCACAGTCAACCAAAAAAATCCCCAATCATAAACTTGAAAGCCCTACATCTGTGCATTAAGACAAGAACCCCTCATTTGCCCCCAGAGGCACGCTTAGAAACATCTGCACGCTTAGATTATGGACGGGGAACCGGGGTCCAGGTAGGGCTTAGGGAGTATTGTGGCTTAGGGTTTAGGGGTTTGGGTTTAGGGTTTAGGGGTTTTGGGTTTAGGGTCTAGGGTTTACCTGGGAATCCAAAAACCTGCCGTTTTAGGGGTTCTACTTTCTATTCAAGGGATTATATCCTACTATTTTGTAGGATTTGGGGTCACAAGTAGGGAGTATATCATGTTATAGTACGTGGTAGTAGGTTATGGTATGTTATAGTATATCATGGTACATTATAGCATTTTTCTAGTGATTCTACAGCAAGCACGGTAAACCCCAAACCCTAAATCCTAAAACTTCAATCCTGAACCCTAAATACTAAAACCTAAACCTGAAACGGTGCGTTCTGGAGTTTTGGGTTTTCGGGCTTCTGCCAGCGCATAGGGTTTGAGCTACAAAAACTATTCGCAGCACTATCGTGTTTGAGATTCAACATTCTCTCTGTTAGGGTGCGTGAGAAACGGGGACATTGGGGGTTGGGCATTATTGGATTAAGTGGTTGCTTTGGGTTCAGGCCGTAGCCTTCCAGGGCTCTATGTTTGCTTCTCATTTGTTACTGTGACGCTGGATTGCGGAGACGTGCTTTGATTGAGTTTCCAGTTACCCTTATGTTTAAGGTTCAGGGTCTAGCATCTAGTTCACCTCGAAATTGCTTGTATAGGAAGGCTCTCAAGGCGATCCGGTTAGTACAGCCTGGGTATGTTTGACAACTGTAGTGACACGTGTTGCGAGGGCACATACGGGTTTGGTGCTGAAGGTTGGGGTTAAGGGCAGATGAACAACTAGTGGGTCCCGATAAAAAAGATGACATGCTAGTGTTTGTTCATGCGGCCTGGGCGCCAAGTCAAAGGCGGAGGCGGCAGGTGGAAAGAAATGCAGAGGCGAAACTAAGGAGCGGCGGAAGTTTATGGCAGGCTTCCGCAAGAAGAAGTAAACCATACACGTTATGGATCCGGCGAAGGCGAAGCCTGGTCGGTTGGGTCAGCGGTCGCCGGGGCCGGTGCGGGAAGCGCAAGAATGAGACGTAGAGGTTTTGAGTTCCGGGGCCGGCTCTTACGGAAGCACAACCTCGAGCCTTACAAGTTTTAAGTCCTACAGGAAAACCCAACTCCTGAGATCTAAGATCTATATCTACATCGCCAAATCGAAAGCCATCAACCATGCACTTCAGACGTCTGCATTAAACTTCACAACTATTGCCTTACATCTTAAACAGAACCTTTAGAGCCCGTACAAGCCTCGACCAATCCGTACTAGAGCCCATGCAAGTACTTATAACAAAAGGGTTAAACAGTTTCGGGAGCGGTGTAGAACTCTGTATGACCCGTGTAACAAGTCTACACCAGCCTGTAAACAAACGTGTGATCGCTAATCCGACTATAGCTCCCCAGCCCATAAAGTTTAGGGTTTGGGGTTTAGGACGCCTTTGTATACAAGTTCCACTAAACCCTAAGACTTACACCGTGAACTTGAATCCCCACCCGATTCCGTAAATCTAAGCAGATACAACTCCCAAGGGTTCCTTCTGGGGATCCTAAAGTTTTTCCTTTACGGGCTGCTATAGGGGTCTATAACAGGGTCCCTACTTCAAAGAACCCTTCAAGAATCCATGAAAGAAGGCTTTAAAAAAGAGACCGGAATTCTTCAAACATACCCGTAACTCAGGCCGTTACGAAACTAAAAACCGAGGCTCCGCAAGCATTGAAATATATTTTCCGTGCTGGAAACCTAAAAGGGAAGTCTTGAAAGGAGCCCCAAATCCCCAAACCCTCTAACACCCTGAACCCTACGCCTTGCGTAAACCGTAAACCCCACCCAGAGAACCCAATACCCCTTAATTAAGGAATATACCTTAAATCTTAATATTAAGGCCACTATAATTTAAGGTATATCCTTATTTAAACGGTATTGGGTTCTCTGGGCACAACCCTTGTCAAAACCCTCTAACAGTGATAAACGCCCTAAGCCCTACAGCTCCAGTAGACTAGAGGCCCCCCCTGTATAATCCTAAATCGGAATTACATAAACCATGAATAATCAAGCCCAGAACCCTCTAACGCCCCGCAAGCCCTAAACCCTAGACCCTAAACCCTAAACTCAAAGCTCTAAACCCTAGACCCTGAACAGGTGGCGAGGCCCATGGGCTGGTAATGCGCGAGCACCGGGCCCCAGCGAACTGCAGCAGCATCGGGGCTCTCAGTTGAGGGTTTAGGGTTGAAAGGTAGGGTTTAAGGGTTTAAGGGTTAAAGGGTTAAAGGTTTAAGGGTTAAGGGTTTAAGGGTTTAGGGTTTAGGGGTGTCTACCCATACGCTCCATAGTAGTTCCTTTTTGTGGTTTGTGTTTAGGATCCTATAATACTCTCAGGTAATCCCCAAAAGGAACTACTATGGAGCCTATTGGTAGGGTTTCAAGTTTAATTAGGGTTCAAGGCTTTTTAAGGTTTAGGGTTTAGTTTGTTCCATTTTCTGTTTATCGGTGTGTGTGTGTGTGTCTGTGCCTGTGTTTGTGTCGGTGTCTGTGTGTGTGTGTGTCTGTGTGTGTGTGTGTGT